GCCCCGGACGGGAGTCTCTTTTCGCGCCCTCTTAGACGCATGACCTAGGTCCGTAGATGTCCATCAAAGTTGCCACACAAAACAAGGTAAATCTCCTGGATTTGTTGAAGATGAGGTATGAATTCTTATTTTCTCAGTGCTTAACTCAGTTAACCACTTAAGAACTGGGGAATTAACTGGGAATATGTAACTTGTTTGCATTTTTCTGGCGTTTTCAAAACCAAAATAACGAATCCTGAGTGGCTAAGGTCCACACTGAGCGAACGCCGACCTGGTAGCTCCTGAAACAAGTCAATGGGTGCATTTTGTTGTGAAAATCTACGGTTGGAACATGTTGAAACCATGCTTTCTGTTGGAAATATGGAGCTTCTCCCATGGAAAATGCCCCTTCAACCAAATTCTGCCAACCAGCCTGGCTGAACAATGACACTTCAATTCACCAACCTAACAAAAAAGATCATATGGGTGCAATGCCCCTTTCTAATTACCATGATGTTGTGCTGTTGTGAGACTTAAGCCGCACCAAGCTCATATGCTCCAGGAAGGTAATGGGAGCTGCAGGGAGAATGCTACAAAAGGGTGCTGGGTACTAGGTACTGTTTTCCTCTATGTGCATGTGGCAAAAAATCAGCCCAAGGTCTATACCCAAGAAATGCTTGCAGTCTTCACTCAAACAGTGGATGCCAGAGCTGGTTCTAGACCTTTTCTCCATCGTCTCCAGTGTGCTCTCAGAAATCTGCATAGGGAAGTATTATTTGCCAACAGATTTATTATTCCGTGTAGTTAGCGATATATATATATAGTATATATAGTATATAGAGTATATATATATAATATATATAGTATATATAGTATATATAGTATATATAATATAGTATATAGAGTATATAGAGTATATATAGTATATATAGTATATATAGTATATATAGTATATATAGTATATATAGTATATATAGTATATATAGTATATGTAGTATATATAGTATATATAATATAGTATATAGAGTATATAGAGTATATATAGTATATATAGTATATATAGTATATATAGTATATATAGTATATATAGTATATATACTATATATAGTATATATAGTATATATTGTATATATAGTATATATTGTATATATAGTATATATAGTATATATAGTATATATAGTATATATAGTATATATAGTATATATAGTAAATATAGTAAATATATATATATATGGTAGAAATAGTATATATATATAGTATATATAGTGTGTATATATATAGTATATATAGTATATATAGTATATATAGTATATATAGTATATATAGTATATATAGTATATATAGTATATATATATATAGTATATGTATATAAACCTACGAAAGGCAAAACACATCTATTACTTCAAACTACCTTCAAACTCCGTCTCAATTTTTGGAGGCATGGAACTTCACCAAATCTAGCTGGGTAATTCTATGCATCCCAGAAACTTCATGGCACTTCTATATAAGCATCATGCATGAATCACCCAAATTGCCATTGAAGTCGCGAACCCAAAACCTCTTGTTTTCCCTTTAGTTTTACCCAATGTCTTTGAATGTAAATTCACATGTTTTTTTCAAATGCGTGATCATCAAATCCCCATATGGATCCATATGGCGGGTTCATCAAATGGGGGTACCCCAAAGTCATCCAAAATTGGGACAAGTTACTATAGTTAAAACATGTGATTTTGGGGCCCACATGTTTAAGAAACCACCATCCGGCAATTTCACAGTTGTGTATAGAACATTCCCCATTTAAGTATAGCTTTTTTTTGTAAATGATGTTTTCCATGGCAAACATCTTCAGTTGGTGATATGTGGTCATATAATCCTATCAATATATCAACCCCCATGAAATCCAATTAAATTATATATATCACCATGTTTACCCTCTGGTAAACTAACTTAGCTATGGACCATCACCGATGGGCCAATCATCCATGTCCATTGCCATTTTCAATAGTCTTTCGAAATTACCAAAGGCTATTGTCAGGCCATACCCGAGTTGTTCATTTGCTGACCCCATCTGACGCCCCACAGTTGTGCCGCCTCCTTCTGCATAACCTGGCGAAGGGGCCAACCACCAGCCACGTTTCACGTGGAAATTTGCTTTGACAATGAGGTGCAATTAGATTGGGGAACCGGCAACCGGGGTTCATCTTTGTCACTTTGTTCAATAAGTGATTAATTTGGCCTTGCCATGATGTTATTTTTTGGAACGCTTGATGTGGAAAACCTGGTAAACACAATAATCAACAATCCCAAACTCACTTCCAAAGCCTGGAAAGTCACAACTCGGTTGGCAAGGGTGGGTGTCCCAAGAATGGATCAAAACATGATTCCTCTTTCAACTCCAAACATGGATCATCTGTTCAAATCTTTGGATATCTTGGATCTTTATAAATATATATATATATATACGGTACGTATATATATATATAAATACTTTTTGTGTGCCGGAATCTGCCCTTAGGTGCCAAGTGATGTTTCCACCTTCAACCCCGGCACCTTGCCCTCTGGCAACTTGCTGTTACGGCGCCCGCTGCGATCGCCGGAAGCATCCACCTTGTTTTTTTTTCGGGCTACGGCAGCACGGCAGCTACGGCCCGTGGGAAACAGATGTGGCAATGGGAAATCGACACGAAGACAGGACATGTCGCCGTTCTCAAACGCATCCCGGTTCCTCGTGCCTTGGGTGAGGCTATGAAATTCCTGGCTGGCGGACGCCCGATTGGATCCGTGTCATGCCTTGATTTGGCCACAACTCTGACCACCCAACCCTCAAACTGCAAAAAATCATGAAAAATTGCTATCATACGCTATCTCCAACCGCAAAAGTCATCCTTCAAAATTCATTTTTTGGAGAGCCACATGTTTCTGTGAAATTTGGGCTACATTCGACAGCCCTGGGCACCTGCAGCGTTCAGCTTGGAGTCGGCTAATGGCTAAATGAGGAGCGCCTATGGCCCAGCCCATGCATATGGGATGGAAATGGGTTCAACGCGCAGATCTACCTGTAGCTTGAAACTCCTAATTACCATCTTCATCCATTTTCCTTAGTAATTAATTGGATAGTTCTGGATAGTAAGTGGGGTTGTATGCCACTTAAACATATGATAATCCAGTTAAGGGACTTACCAACGAGCGACTTAGGAGACTTACTAACGAGGGCCGCTAACTAATCGTTACGATCCAGGGATGATCCACAACTTGACCACCAACCAGTGTCCCGTGGAAAAAAAATGTGTGACCAAACATGATGATACATTAGGATGGGTCAGAGTCTTCCAAGAATGGGTAACTATTATATGCATTTTCTGAGGCAAATTTTTGTCGATTTTTGCATTTGATTCATGGTTCTTAATTCCAGAAGTATTTGCTTGTTCCAAACAGGTCGGATTTGTCCAAATTGTATCTCTCCCAAAAATGTGTCCAAATGCCTCTCCGGCTTTGAGTCTTTGGCGCTGTTCGGCCGGTGGCGACCTGTTGCCGCGGATCATCCCTGAAGTTATCGTCCAGTGGATACATACCAAAAACATGTGATAGTTTTGTATAAGGGCCCAGACAACCAAAAAAACACAGCTCATATGGGGTTGTATAAAAATACCCCCAAACAGTCCAAAACCATTGTCCCAAATAAGAGCTTTCCACAGAGGATCACTATGGAAGGTCAATGAGGGCTCTTAGAATGCCTCCAAAAGTGGCATTTGGAAGATGATTTTCCCATCAGATATTATATCATTTTTTGGGTTCGTCATCCCAGGATAAGGTCCAAAGGTCTGTCCATGTTTGCTTCGTACATCAATGGGCTGTAGCCTCTGGAAATCAAAGATCGCAATTGGACATCTTCCAGTGATACATGGGTTTTCCCAGCTACACACCTTTGTTTATAGGGGATTTCCGTGGATTTCCCACCTAGCAATGTTTGATGACACCGGAGGGTATTGCTTTGCCTATGCCTACGCAGCCACAGTGGGAGCCTACGCGGCTCATACCTTTGAAGGGCCAACGCCCGTGTAAAACGATGCTGCAACGTACTTGTTTGCCTACGCCGTCACACTCCCGGCTGCTTTTGGAAGTCTGGAAGCGGAACTTTCGCGTACGCGAACACAGTCCCATCAACATTTTGCTAAGTGGCATGCCTTGCGGCACCCTGCAGGGGCACCACCAGAGGCTCCAAACCGCACCCTGCTCACGCACCCAGACTCCAAAGCGCCCATAGACATCTTGCAGCCGCACAAGCACCCAGGTCCCACAGCGCACTAAACATCTGGCGGATAGATCACTGAAGACCCAGCTGGTAACTTTTGACTATGCTGGAGTCAAGCCACTAACGGTGTTTCAACGTGGGTTGGAATGGAGCTGTGTTCGACTGTACTAGCTTGGTGTTTCAACGTGTTCTGGGCGGTTCAATGTGTCGAATATGGACTGGTTCGCACGTGGACTGGTGGTCAATCTGCGCACCCGGGCCTACGCGGTGCCTACACGAAGCCTACGCCTGTTCCAGGGGTCCCCTGGCAGAAATCTGGTGAAACATTCGGCTCAAGCAAGAGCCTTATGGCCCTTATGGCAACAAGCAGGTAAAAAGCGAAGAACATCAAGACTCTAGTTGGCATGGACAGCTAGCGGTTTAAGCTGCTCCGCTGCCCTTGTATAGCTGCTCTGCCAAGCGGGTTCCACGGTTTGCTCGTATAGACGGCTATCCATGAATGAACCTGGTGCCTTTGAACCTTTTGTGGATAACATTGGGTCAATTTTAAAGCGTGAGATTGCAACGCCGATCATGTACGAGCATTTGAAATACAATAAAATTGTCGCATACGTGAACCAGAGATTTTCGGAACCTTTAAAAATGCCTATACGCCAATCCTACGCAATCCTTACGCCAGCCATGTAAAACCACACCGAAAGCAACATCCAGTTTAAGTTGCACAAAAAACCATCCATGTTTAAAAAAATGTATATAGCTCATATGGAAATCACCGGAAATTCATGGGTTTCCCATGGAAAACTGCCCCACAAATGTGCGGTATACCCCACCCCACCCAGCCCAGCATGTTTTTTGGCTGAGACCAGAAAGCTTCCAGCCGAGCTGGCAACACGAAGTCAGGAAAGGGTTGGATGTAGAGATTTCTGACCTGCGGAAGCTGAGTGGATATTTGAATGTGCCACTCTAGGAATCGAATCCGCCAATTAGTAATTCATAATGTTCATGTTGTTTTTTAAATGAATTTTTTGGTTTGTAAATCCACCACTGATATCCACTGATCTGATATTCCATGTTAGATGACTGCGTTACTTCACCCAAGTACCAACTGGGATGCACCCCAAAGTAGGTCTCCCAGAATGAGACATACAGCCTGCCTTTCAAAACAAGTGATTTTTCATCCCCTACTCCATGGGTTCTGGGGTGTGTTTAATATGAGGGGGCAAAGGGAATACCCTAGGCCCTAGGGTAAACTAACATAGGTGTGGAAAACCAATGTTCCACATCTATGTTAGTTTAAAGTTTACCCAACGGTACCCTCTTGGTAATTTAACATAGCTATTGAAAATGACCATAGAAATAGTCGATTTACCTATTAAAGATGGTGATGTTCCATAGCTATGTTAGTTTACCAGAGGGCAACAGTTGCCCTTCACACCTTCAACAGCCTGGCCCCCCAATCTGGGGCCCCACCGAGCCCAAGACGTCGAGGCATCCAGTGCTAAGTTGAGCCACGTCATCCAACCATCCCAAGTCCTAAGATTCCGGCGCTTGAAAGGTCGTGAAGCATTAAAAAGTGGGGTTGTAACAAAACACACCAGTATTATATATATATATATATATGATGCGTATGAAAAAACATACATACATACATACATACATTACATTACATTACATTAGATTACATAACATTACATTACATTACATTACATTACATTACATACATAACATAACATAACATAACATAACATAACATAACATTACATTACATTACATTACATACATACATACATACACATATATATATATATATATATATGTGAGGGCCAAAAAAGGTGTATATATACAATATAATTCAGACTCTCCGGTTTCGCACTTTAGATTTCCAGAAGTTGGTCATATTAGTTTTGTTCACAACTGTAGTGTGTTGTTTGTCCTTTTTTCACATTTTAGATGTTCGGGATTGCATGACGACCCATCTTCATCGGCTTACACCGGCAATCACCATGATTCTGAAACTCAAAGGAACCCTTGGAATTGGATGCTCAAGGTATTCTGGTGGTTTCAGCCATATCAAACCCTTTGGCTCCGCCATGGTTTTGCCGAGGTTTGGTCATTTTCCTCCAACCACCGCCATCACCGTGGATTCCCAGCATCTGTGGCCCGCGCCAGAACTTCGTTGGCATCTCGTGGTGCGAAACCAGGGCCACACAGCAGCGTGGCGTGAGGTAAGCAACCCACATCCAGCGGAAGGGCGTCGGGCACCCGCAAGGACATCATCAGTAAAGCACCTGGGGATTGTCAGCTGAAGCCCAGAGATATGTCTTTTTAGCCCATACAAACCCTATGAAGATCCATTAACTCTAGTTCTATCCCCATATGTCCCAGCCCTGGAGCACCCACCTTGTGGGGATGGTCAGCGCTACATTTTCTGCTGGCGGCATTTTCCTCGTTCACGGAGAAATGGGTCATCCAATCATGAAAAACTTCCTTTTTCAAGAAAATAACATCGTACTCAAAATGAATCGCGCATTTTCTCTTTCTATTAGTTTGGTTGCCAACCCATATACATGATAAATTACTAGTTGGTGGTTGACCTACCCCTCTGAAAAATATGAAAGTCAGTTGGGATTATTCTTCCCAATATATGGAAAAATAGAAAATGTTCCAAACCACCAACCAGAATATAATTATTATTATTGTCCCCCAGCCCGCATTGTGATGACGTGCAAGTCCCACATGTTCTGGGCCATGTCCCAGATGCGCATGGGTCGCAATAGATCACAATTGATATATCAAGTAATATACCTTCCGGTAAACATACAAAAAGCTATTGAACATGGCCATTTATAGTGAGTTTTCCCATTAAAAATGGTGATTTTCGATAGTTATGCCAGAGAGTATCAATTGATCATGTGGTAAAAATCCTATGAGAAACCGATAAACCTTCCTTTGCAAATGGCATAGTTCCATATAGTCCAGACATGTCCCGAGCCATTTCTGGAAAGTCATTGGTGATGGTCTAGAAGACTTGCCTTGTTGATCATTTGATCCTGCCCTTTCATCACATTATATACACCTTGTCATTTGAGAGAATCAGCGACTGAGTGGACCACCATGGAATACCGCATCCAGTTTGTTTGATTTCAGGCACCGGGTTTGCCACGGTACTTAGCACCGGGCACCCACAAATTGGATGGTTTACATGGTTTACGGCCAGCAAATCAGTAACCTATCGGGGTGCTTCGCACCAGTTATTCCCACGACGGTTCTTCCCACGATGCTGCCTTCGAGATAGATCAAATGTGCAGTCTGTAGCTCCCAAATGCTTCCTTCCTCAGGTTCCCCATAAAGTGCGGAGCTGGTTGGTGGTGGGTCCTAAATTGGTGGTCATGGGGTGAATTAGCTCTTATATGCTCTTATCACTATCAATTCAAACAACCATCCCCTCAACTATCAAACAGATCCTGAGAATTGCCTAATTTTACAGGAAAGTGGCCTTCCAACCCGCAAAAGTGGCAGGGTCTGCGTGGAAGAGAAGCCATGAGAAGCCAATTTCCATGAGAGGGGTATAGTTTTCCAGGATCTGCAAATGGAGCCTTGGGATATGATCCTATAAGTTTTATATATTTCAGATCATTATGCAATCGCCATAGTTGCAATGTTGGTTATAGGTTAATCCCAATAATGATGCCAATTAGTGTATACTATTAGTACGGTTACAATACCAAGAAAACATAGTGAATCTAAGCTATAAACCATCTTAGCTATACTTGGCTAAGAATGGGGGACCTTGTACGGATATCACTGATATACCCACCCAAAACAAACACGAACAGGTTGGCTGGCGGTTTCCAACCCCCCATTCTCTCCCCATCTTAAAATTGCAATTTTCTGCTACATCCCATTTTGGGCAGGAGTTGGACAAACTGATGGCCGATGAACCTTTGTTTGTACGCATTGGGGATCTAGTTGGCATCAATTTACCGCGAATAATCTATAAGTAGAAAAATGGTCGTCACTGTCGTCACTGTTTTGCTGTTGGTCAGATTTGTTTGGGATGATTGGTTTAGTTGGAGTTAGTTGCCAAGGCGAATGTTTTTGTGGCCTTAACCTTATTTGTCCGTTAAAAGTGGCACCATCGTTTGCACCATTATTTTTCAACTGGGTGGTTTGATTGCAATTCAAGCATTATCCCTCGCCATCACCAAACATCAGCACTACAGTAACATCGCTGGAAAATGTCTGGCATTATCTGGCATTAGCAAAATCATCATTGGAGTCAGAATCCATGAACCTCACGTTAGGTTTTCCATATAAAGTCACTGTCCACGTGATTGATGACCATTGTTTCTTGAACCAAACACTGAAACACCCACGTAAATCCAGCAAATCATTAGCTTTCAAGAAAAACGCACCAAAAGATTCAGGTCTTTCAGTACCCCGGTAAACTATGGTAAACCTAAATCAAGCCCCCCATTTTCTTAAGATTAAAAAAATGGTAAACAGGCAGGTATCATACTGATGCATCATTGGTTTACATTGGCGGATAAAAAATCCTGGAAAACATCCAATCCTCTCGGCCAATATCCACCATATCCAATGTCAATCAGGTTCTGTTGCATTTATAGATATTTACATATGTGAGATGAACCTGTAAACAGCACATAAATCAACAAACGCTTCTATATTTATGCATTAGTCACACACACTTTCACTTTCGCAGCGCTCAAAGGTCTCTATGTCCTTGCGGCTAATGCAAAACTCTCCAATTAGGTCACAAAAGGTTACCTACCTCGGCTGGTAATCGGGTAGAATGTTGGCGTTAGCTTAATATAAACAAAAAAAAACTACATAATACATACAAACGTATATACTTCGTACACATAATCCATATATAATCATATATATGGTATATAATATGCGTTAACATACCATATATTACTGTACCAACAGTTGGTAGCACCAAACACCGAGTCACGATGCCCCGGTCCCCGGGGCCGGGCTGCGCATGCTGCGCATGCTGCGCGCCGCCCAGGAAGAAGGTGGTCATGTGCAGCGGCTCCGAGGGCCACCTAAGAGTGGGGCCAGGATTCAGTGGCATGATACGTGAAGGAATATGAATGGAATAATATGATATATATATATATATATAGTGTGTGTGTGTGTGTGTTATATATATATATGTATACTGCATGTTATGTTATTGTGATATGTCTGTGCATATAGATATAGATAGATAGATAGATAGATAGATAGATAGATAGATAGATAGATAGATAGATAGATAGATAGATAGATACATATTACAGTAATGCAGTGAACATCTGGGCAATGTACTGAAATTTCATGAGAGTTCCATAGGGCAAGATCAATGGGTCGAGTTGGATCTTTACGTGGTTTAAAAATCGGTTTGGTATACCCTTAGGGTGCTATATGTGCTATTGCATACTTTACTTTCAACGAATTTTGGAATAATATGCATATGGTGACCCAGCGATTGACGAGGGGATATACCCTACAGATCTACAGTAGACCCTAGACCCGAGTTATCCCCGGTTTATATAATCATTGTAATCAACCACGTACTGGATGATGGCACTCCGGTACTTATGCAGCCTCTTGGTCGCTGTCCTGGTGGGGCATTACGAATCGTGTGGTGCACCACAAAAAAGGATAATTAGCACCAATTACCCTCCGGTAATCAAGACCTACCAACCCAGTTTTCATTGATATCACCTATGGAACCTCAAAATGAAGAAATTAAATGAAATTAACGGGTCAAGGATGCTCTCCCTCTGTCTTTAGCATTAAATAGGGGAAGGGATAATTCCTCGAGGGGGATGCCATGAAAAAACATCACAAAAGGAACAGCTTGAATCCAGATGGACCACCAAAAGCGACGAGAATTGCTGCACGAAAACTGGGAATATCATTCAGGCAGAAACGGGGGAATGAGAATGGACATTTTCCCCGTGCCATCTGGATGATGGCTTTCAGCATTGCGGTGCGTGTGTGTGATTAGAGGTAGAGATCGGTGAAAAAGAACATGTCGCTGAACCACCAAGATCACCCCCGAGGAAGGTGACATAGATCCCCATAATATATCCACATAATTGTTGCACATTATTGCTACTACTAGTACATTTTATTTTATAAGCACAACTCCGGCAAAATCTTTGTGAGTTGAATCTGCCATCAAATTGCCACCAAGTTTCATCAGATCTTGCGGCGGCAAATGAACACCAAAATTCTTCGTTAAGAGGTCATCCAACGTGCAAGCAGCTTCGTGAAAGAAGTCACGGTGCTCCTACGGAGTTTTCTTCAATCATTTGGCTTGGGTGCCCATACGATCCATGTACCCTTTGGTAATTTAACATAGCTATTAAAAATTGCCATTTATAGTGATTTCGGATTTAACCGGATTTACCCATTGGAAATGGTGAGCTTTTCCATCGTTTTTTGTAAACCTTTACCCGAGGGTAAGGCATATTCGGTGCAGAGTCTGCCATCGCCATGGAGGCTTCAACAAACCATAGATTGTACGATATGGTACGGTTACGTCCGGTTTGTGATGGGTGGTTGGGCCTGTCTGCCCCTGTGGCGCATTTCCTGAGTTCTGCATCTACTAAAGGGTTTCAAACAGACACGAGCTATGACTGGCTATGACCATCCCAAATGATCAGGGAAATCATCATTGACATTATGTGGACTCACAAATTCACAACTATTGGAACCGCAAAAATTGGGTTTGGAAGATGCTTGTCCTATTGGATGTTGTCATTCTTGGGCTCTGTGAAACTTTTCAGGGGGGTTCAACCCTGAAAGATATGAGACAGTTGGGATCATCCAGGGATTTCAAAAGATGATAGAGATGGTATGAAGTGGTTGAACCACCAGGCATGGTTGGATTCTGGTGGATTTTCCAGCCTCAAAAGACAAAAGCCCACAGCTCGCCTCGAGATTCAGCCCCAGGTACTGAGGGACAGGCCTTGAGATGTGGAAAGCGTTGAACATATTGTAAATTGTCTATAGTTTTCCCCTGGTTCGTGCAATAATTACAATTCATGCATATTAATGCGGTATCCGTTTAGGATCGTTTAGGATGTTTTGGATTGTTACGGTATAGACATGTTGTGTTCAATATAATCATATATATATATATACATACATATATACATATATGATATACGTTCAGGATCACTTAGCAACAAACGTCTCTACGCGTGTTGTATTTACTTGTCTAGATCCCACGGTACGTCTTGGCGTGAGATTCAATGCCAGCACGGTGGCCTTTGTTTTGAACATCTCTGATGTTGGGACTGTTTCTATAAATATATACATGTGTATATATATAATTAATATGGATGTTGTATGATGTTGTCACATCTGAATGTAATATTCTTGAAAAAGGACATTCATAATGTTCTCAAGTCCTCAAGGGCGAAAGAGCTCTCCCGCAGGCAAGGCCCTAAGGGCACACCGTAGCTATGACGATTCAAACAAACCCATGTTTGAAACCTGGTGTGCCTCAGCTTTGTAGGAGATATGTATACAAAATTTCATACATAACATAAATGTTAATGTAATATATATATATATTATATGATTATATGCATTTATTATAACATCACAAAACCCAAAGTGATCGCATCTGAGATCTACAAACGCAGATTTAGGCTAACACCCTCGATCTGACAAACACACTGGACAACTCTGAAGATACTTGGGGTTGCAAAACGCCTGTCTCACGACCTGCAAAAGCCCTAACGTTTTTTCTGGTTTTGTTGTCCATCATCACGCCTTTCACATTCCTTGCCAGGTATCGATCAAAGATGAGGCGCGAAAGGAGCACAAGCTCAGGGTACTTTAAGTCAATACAGCGAGTATAGTTTAAAATATAGTCATAGTATGTCATAGTCACATCAGTAGCGCCAACCCTAGTCCAGCTTGACATGTGTCTTTTAATCAACCCCAAAACCATTGGATTCAAATTCAAAGACACACAATTCCAGAGGTTTTGGGTGTCCCCAAGTCTAGGAACCCCTGCATATCCATTCGCTTCGCTATTTAGTTTCTATTCGCTCCAGCTAATTACAGTACTAGGTTTTCATGGTGTTCACATGTGTTCACCAAAGGTTTAGAAGCAGTTTAGAACACAATTTTCTCATCCAAATACCTTCCCAGGTGCTTGGATTGCTTGGCAACTTCGCGCGGTGGTTCCTCTTCTGGCTTCTCCTCGAAGTAATAGGAGCGCATCACCAGCAGCCCGCTCGGAACTGCCGTGCTCGCTGAGGTGGACTTGGACCTTACAGCTGTAGAGCAACTACAATTATATAAATAGTACATGTGTATTATTATGTATTATGATGTATTATGCATTTATTTTCTGAAATTATGTAGACTTGTCCCACATATAAATATCAGAATTGATACTGAGTTATGTTCATGATGGGTTGGAAGGCGTGATTTTCCATTGGTGGATGATGACTAATTAGACATCATGACTTTGATATTGTGCATGCACTTGTGCGCCTATATCATAGCTTTCTCTCTTCGACGTCTCCTCTGTTGGACTCGCATGCCAGGCCAGTGTGCTCTTAAATTTTGGGCCGTATAGTGTCTTGCAGGCAAAGTCACTTTGTGATTCATGTTTCAGGGAACTGGCCCCCAGATGGACCAGTCAGCTTTGTTTGGCTATACAGGGCCTCCCCTTTCGGCCGGGTCACTTTTTGGTGATGCCCGCATACGCCAACACGTCTCGCGCGGCCCGTGGTGCATCGCCGTCCGAACACATTGCAACGTTCGCTGTGCCCCAGGCACCCAGGGTAGTGAGTTTGACAAGTTTGGTTTTAGTGGTCAAGAAATTGAAGAAATTCAAGACCTCTTGACTTGAACGTAACAAGATGTAACAAGGTTTACTGTAATCAAGCACTGAAATCAATCAGTTGGAAGCACACTTGTTGGAAACACACGTAATTCAAATACATATCATTATATCGTCATGTCATGTATAACCCAGCATCCAAATGCAGAAGTCCAGCCGGCACGAGCCCGAAAATATGGGATGGTACCAGTGGACATTCGCTGGAGCCGAAGGAACCCCTAATCAGGTGAAGCCCCAGTGTTTGGGTTTATGTACCCTCTGGTTATGTCAACATAGCTATTGAAAATGGCCATTATTAATGGGAAAATCCACTATAAATCACCATTTTCAATAGCGAACTGTTAAATTACCAGAGGGTATATCTTGAGTTTTACAACCAACAGCCACGAATAACGGATAATAAGTTAATAAGGGTTTCCATGGATTTCCTACCTTCAGGTAATCAAACATCGCAATGGACAACCAACCATTCAGTTTTTTATTTTTTCCATTAAAACCTCGAGTTAATTCGCAGATTCCTATCCACTAGTAATCCCTTCCCCGTAATATTAGACATCATTCCAAGAAACCATGATTTAGCAAGGGATAAAACAAATATTTGGGACTCATATAGGGGGTATTTTTCGTGTTGGGCGGGATGAGATTGTTCATTGTATCCATTGAAAATCCCACTAGAATTCATTGGATCCTTAATCATATTCCATTCAAAGATATCATGATATACAGTACTCATCCCATGTTTGATCATTTGGTGAAGTCTGTTTCTTGTCCATATTCCATTGATATCCCAATTTCCCATTGGTCATTGGTCTGTTAAGTCCCCATCGTCCATTGCAGCTGAAGGCCTCTGGAGCCATCTTCACCTCACCTTGGCTCACGGATTTTCACCTCATTTGTCAGCTGATATTCGAATGATTTGTTAACTGTTTGTCCAGCAAAAAGAAATATTTTTTCTTCAATCCCAATTGAAGATTTGCATTTTTGTGGGATATAATGATGGGAACATTAAATCCCATGAAATATATCCTTTTTCAATGAAAAGAGTTGAGGGAGCAAAAAATGCAAATGAAAGTTGAAAACGGAGTTCTACTGTGAAATATTGGTGTGTGTAGGTGTTAGGGGCAAATAGCGGCGCCTGACAACCTTGTTCTGTTCATGAGGGTTATCGCTACACCTACTCGCCTAGTGGAGCTCATAGGACCAGTTGTATACTTCTATGTATCTATGTCTGTATCTATGTGTGTTTCAAAATATGTATCTATACCAATGTAATTATGTATGTATGCATGTATGTATCTATCTAGCTATGTAGCTATCTATCTAATCTATCAAATCTATTTAATCTATCAAATCTATCTAATCTATCTAGTCTATCTAATCTATCTAATCTATCTAATCTATCTAATCGTTCTAATCTATCTATTCTATCTAGTCTATCTAACCTATCTAATCTATCTAATATATCTAATCTATCTAATCTATCTAATATATCTAATCTATCTAATCTATCTAATCTATCTAACCTATCTAACCTATCTAATCTATCTAATCTATCTACTCTATCTAACCTGTCTATTCTATCTATCTATCTAACCTGTCTATCTGTCTGTCTATCTGTCGGTCTATCTATCTATATCTATCTATGTCTATCTGTATCTATCTATATCTATCTGTATCTATCTAAATCTATCTATATCTATCTAAACCTACCGATATCTACCCCTATCTATCTACATCTATTTATATATTTATATTCCTATTTATCTACCTATCTACCTATCTGTCTATCTATCTATCTATCTATATCTATCTATATTAATCTATATCTATGTATCTATACGTATCTATATCTATCTAAAGCTGTCTATATCTAAATCTATCTATACCTAAGTCTATCTATATCTATCTATATCTATCTTCTATCTATATCTATCTATATCTATCTATATCTAACTATGTCTAACTATATCTATCTATCTATCCATCTGTCTATCTATCTATATATATATACGTCTATTAATCTAAAATAACCTAATCTAATCTAATCTAATCTATCAATCTATATCTATGTATATATATATATGTCTATCTATGCCTATATCTTTCTATCTATATCTATATCTATATCTATATCTATATGTATCATCTGTATCTATCTATAACAATCTACATCTATCTATATATATCTATATCTATCTCTATCTATCTATCTATATATATATATCAATATATATATATATATATATCGATCTATCGACCTACCGACCTATCTATCTATCTATCTATCTACCTGTGTATCTATCTATCTATATACCTATCTACCTATCTACCTATCTACCTATCTATCTGTCTATCTATCTATCTATCTATCTATATCTATCTATATCTATCTATCTATCTATCTATATCTATCTATATCTATCTATATCTATCTATATCTATCTATATCTATCTATATCTATCTATATCTATCTATATCTATATCTATCTATATCTATCTATATCTATCTATATCTATCTATATCTATCTATATCTATCTATATCTATCTATATCTATATCTATATCTATCTATATCTATCTATCTATCCATCTATCTATCCATCTATCTATCTATCTATCTGTCTATCTATCTATCTATTCATCCGTCCATCCGTCTATCCGTCTATCTATATCCCTGTGCTTGGTAATTAAGGTTGGCTCCACGCTTCTTTTCCTCTCTTGTTTGAAGTTGTTCCAAGCTATTTTTCAGTTTGTTTTAAAAAAATAGCTATGACATCACTGGTTAAAGGTTTCAAATATCTTCAATGTTCATCTCTCCACACGTAGGAATGATTTGGGCCCAGGGTGGAGGCAAAACAACACATCAAACCGGCAACCAACAACTACCCTCAAGACACTTGTAGGCACCCAGCCTTCCAGTGACCAGGATTCATCGCTTTCGCACGGCTTTGTCTGAGACTAGGGCACCCCTAAACTTGATTTCTCAAGCAAAACAATTGGCCAGAGTAGCATCTCCCACTTTCAGACACTTCCATGCAGCTATCTCTCTCACTTATCTCCCATTTTAAATCATTTTATCTCCAGAAAATGCTTCGATACCCCGTTGAAATACCATTGAATCATCATGGAACACCCAGCAGTAGCACCGGCACAACGGTCCCATGAGTCCCGTCGGGCGATCAAAGTACCTTCGCCAAGGGCCTCAGGACCCGAGGCTGAGAAATCCGCCTTTTGAGTGAAACGGGACCCACAATTGGAGATGGCTGGTTTTAATATGTTTTAATTGGGGGGTAATCCACTTGATGGGATTTAGCCTCTGGTTATTTAGATGCCCCTGGTTATTGAAAAAATAACTATGGAATATGGATGAATATGGATGCATATGGCCCATAGATAAGATGAGTTATTTCAGGATTCCCCTATTAAAAAAAACGGTGATTGTCCATAGCCACGTTAAAAACCAGATGGTATCTGGTAAATTGTTACAGAGCCATGGGGAACCACATTGTTTGTGGGTATACTGTAAATCCTCTATAACTGGGCCATTGTCCACACACACACACATATATATATACACACATATTACATTGCGGGAGTGTTGTTTTTCCCCCTGGTTTCCTTTACATCACATTACTCGCACATTTTCCCTCAAAATCCTGAAGCCAGATCTGGGACATGATTTTTCAGATCAAGTTGGCTGACTCTGCGGGAACCTGACTAGCGATTCTGTGGCTTTGCCAGCTTCATTGGAAGTTATATAGATACCATAAGCCTAAATCCGTACTGCCAACCTTGAAACAGGAAAATTTCTACGATCTAGAACAAATTGAATGGGACCCCAAGCAGTTTATGACGTGCAGACATGGGTTCACGATCAAGGCATTGGCTTTATACCTTTTGGGCCTTCCCACGGTCTCAGATGTGGCTGGCTCTGGATGGTCTGGCCTCAAAAGAATGAAATGAGCCTGAAAAATGGTAGGACCTGACCATCACAAGTTGGCATCTAGCCATCAAGACTCTGGGGCCCAATGACTAGACATGTGGACTTAAGGCCGGTATGGAGATCCGGGCACAAATTTTTACGAGGCCACCTGTACATCCTCCCCTGGGTCCATGCCTCCAATTTGTCCCCAAGAAATGAGTCAAAACACCCCTGCGCAAATTTCTGATAAGTTCAAAACTGTGTAGGAAGATGTGGTTTAATGTAGGTATAAGACTATAAGAATCCGAATTATACAGAGGTCACAAAGATGGGAACCCATTGCTCATGAATAATGGGTTAAACCAAACCCCATGAATGAGATTTAAGTTTATCTAAGAATCCCACAACTTACTTCCCCTCAAACGGGAATGTGTCTAAGAGCGAGGGGGACGGGTTTACAGATCTTGGTCATCTGTATTGACCAACCACCTTTCGGGGCACCCGCACGGCGAATCATCATCCTGCGGTCCTAGCACCTGCCAGGTGATCTGCTTTGGCATCGTAGTGTCTGCCAATTTTGAAGGATTTTGGAAGCTTAAAATCATCAATAATCAAATGCATTGGTTTCAAGTTTCTCCCCCAAACATGTGGAAATTATAGAGTCGAATATAGCCCATAATGTACAATAATTAGTTCACACCAAAACCCACCAAATGGCACACATTCTTCGGCTTACTTGGATAATGCAGGTACCACCGGTAAGCAGGTACGTGTAACCCGAAACGTCTTCAACTGCATACTAAAAGATAGTGCATCCAATCTCTTGGGCAAACTCGTGGACCCACACTTGCTACAATGCCGCAAAACTTGGATAAGTCTCTGGTAGTGCCCGACTGTGTGGTCCACAATTTTCGGCAAATCATGTCAAATACTTAAAAAGATACACCCCATGAACATGAACATAAGGTGTGATAAGGCCTCTGAGCCCTATACAACAGGAAACTCGCCCCACGCATGGACAAAGAGTAGCTCTCTATGGCAACCTAACCGCAACACAAAAAATATCAAAAAATACTTTTGATGGACAATATTCCCGCACTGATAGGAGCTTCCAGCCTCGGGACTGCTTCTTGGGAGGGTAAACCACTGACAAATTCCCCACCAAAATTGGGCCAGAGACATTTCTGTCCATGTTGAGCCCCAAACATAGAATTTGGAATAGTTTCTATTGATAATCTTATCCAAAGATTCAACATGTTCCAAACATGGGTGTATCTGAAAATGGTGGTATACCATCAAATAGCATGTTTGATATAGGAAGAAAACCACTAACATTGATCCTTGGGGCAACCCAATTTGTGATTCCAGTATACTGGTGGGCGAATATTCCATAATATTCCAATAACTGGTCATAAGCAGTAGTATTCCCATAATAATGTGAGATAAAATATTATAATATATTATAATAAATATTTTATACAATTAATTATTATAAATACATTATAAATATTACATATTATGTGTGTAACCCCCTACCATGGGTTGAACGCAGCCACTGCGCATGGAATATAGACCTCTTCCATAGCCATCTCTCTCTGCAGGCCGTTTTGAAGAATTAGAGCGTTCCTGGGTGGAAAACGAAGCCGTGTTGAGTTCGACTGTCAATTGAAAAATTGTTTTTTGCAGTTAAAACCGTTACACCGGAGGATGCCCACATAATAATCATAATATCTAGTCATGATCATGTCCAATACAATGTACAAATTCTCAATTGTTTCAACAGTTACCAAAAAAATAAAACCCACGCCAACCAGTCATGGGAAGATCCCCGAATTGTCGGAATCTCACTGCTGTTGGAGCAGGAGCTATTGCGCAAGGTATACCAAACATATCGAAAACACAGGCCCACATGCAAGTGCGTACATATACATATTTAATTCTACAAGAAATATGATGTGAAATATGTGTATATCCAAATGATTATACATATTGTAGAGCAATATGTTTCAGCCAATTTCTATTGTAAAACCCAAATAAATAAACATATTCTTACAGAAATCCGATAAACCAACAATTCAACGGCGAATGCGAAAACCATCCAGCTGGGGAAAAAAGGGAGTAGCATCAATCAAGGCTGGAAACTCATCCGCTCCATGCAGATTTGACGCTACCAAATTCACAATTCAAGAAAACAGCATCAACCTCAGGCCCATCGCCAACAAAATCATTGCTTTAGGGTTTACTATATAATTGACTCGGTCCTTTGATAAGGTTTGATGCTGCTAAATATACCCTCAATAAATCTCAATAAGGCTATACGCTAGTAACGTATTTGCTACAGGGACACCTATGGCGATTTCCGTCCAAACAGTTGGCGACCGAGAGTCAGAGCTTCGTCCTCTCCCAACCAATCCCGCAATTGGGACAGGAATTCAGCATCTTTCTCATCTGGATGCGCTCCCTCACTCCATGCTACGCGCAAGGCTTTGCGGACCGTGTCTTCGTCCCTTACTGACTGCTTGACTTCGGAGAGGAAAACAAAAACATGTGGGACCAAAAAACGTGGCAGTCTGTGAAAATTTTTTTTTGGGGGAAAGGAAACGAACAATGTGACGTACTTCACTGCAAACATGAATTAACAGTGTAAAGTGTGCATTTGGAACTTTATTGAGTTGAGCTAAACTTGTCAAAAAAACAATTACTTTACTTCGTGTGATCCCCACCATGACATTTATACATTTTCTTACTGGTAAATCTTCTGGCATTCTATCTGACATATCTTCTGAAATTCTATTTGGCATTCTATCTGGCATATCTTCTGGCATATGATCTGGCATATCTTCTGGCATTCTATCTGGCAAATCTTCTGGCATTCTATCTGGCATATCTTCTGGTATTCTATCTGACATATCTTCTGGCATTCAATCTGGCATTCTATCTGGCATATCTTCTGGCATATATTCTGACATATCTTCTGGCATATATTCTTCTGGCACATATCTTCTGGCATTCTATCTTCTGGCATATCTTCTGGCATCTCTTCTGGCATATCTATCTGGCATATCTTCTGGCATATTTTCTGGCATTCTATCTGGCAAATCTTCTGGCATTCTATCTGGCATTCTATCTGGCAAATCTTCTGGCATTCTATCTGGCATATCTTCTGGTATTCTATCTGACATATCTTCTGGCATTCATCTGGCATTCTATCTGGCATATCTTCTGGCAAATATTCTGACATATCTTCTGGTATTCTATCTGACATATCTTCTGGCATATATTCTGACATATCTTCTGGCATTCTATCTGACATATCTTCTGGCATATATTCTGACATATCTTCTGGCATATCTTCTTGCATATCTTCTGGCATATCTATCTGGCATATCTTCTGGCATATTTTCTGGCATTCTATCTGGCAAATCTTCTGGCATTCTATCTGGCATTCTATCTGGCATATCTTCTGGCATATTATCTGGCATTCTATCTGGCATATCTTCTGGCATATCTTCTGGCATATTATCTGGCATTCTATCTGGCATTCTATCTGGCATTCTATTTAGCATTCTATCTGGCATATCTTCTGGCATATTTTCTGACATTCTTTCTGACATTCTTTCTAATTTTCTTCTGCACATTCTTTGTCCCATATCTTCCTACATGAGGTCCGGCAGGGAACACTTGGCGTGGATACTCGCGGTTGAGGTCCGGCAGGGAACACTGGGCGTGGATGGTCGTGGTTGAGGTCCGGCAGGGAACACTGGGCGTGGATGGTCGTGGTTGAGGTCCGGCAGGGAACACTGGGCGTGGATGGTCGTGGTTGAGGTCCGGCAGGGAACACTGGGCGTGGATGGTCGTGGTTGAGGTCCGGCAGGGAACACTGAGCATGGATGGTCGTGGTTGAGGTCCGACAGAGAACACTGTGGATCGCGGGTCGCAGTTGGACGAGGAGGACGAGGAGGACGACGAGGAGGACGACGAGGAGGAGGACGACGAGGAGGAGGAGGAGGACGAGGAGGAGAGGAGGAGAGGAGGAGGAGGAGGAGGAGGACGAGGCAGGAGGAGGCAACTGACATAAAATCTAACAACCCTCACCTGGCAGGTGGGGAAAAACACGCAAGAAGACACTACTGATCACATAACCTCCTCCTGCTGAATGCTTCTATGATGATGTCCATCCTGCCTCTGGCCCGCGATCGAGTAGATGAGGGCTCAAATGCTCCAGCAAATGTTCCGATGTCACATATCCACCATGCTATCATAGCTGTGATACACAATAGAAACTCTGTGTGATGTTGACTGTCTCAAGCATCAATCCAGCATGAGATCCCTTCAAGTAATTTGTAGTAACTTGCTGTAAGATGTTGCCTGTCTCAAGCGTCTTTGCAAACAGCTCCAAAGGTACAGAAATGGAAATGTCTCTGTCCACCCCAGTGACTCTGTCATCTGTTCAAACTGATTGCTTCAAACTTTGCCACCCGCAAACTCAAGAGTGGCATTGCCCCGATCACACTACCACACACCTGCAAGTTCGCAAGTAATATATCACATACTTGTCTGAAATTCTTTCTAACTTTCTTCTGCACATTCTTTGTCCCATATCTTCCTACATGAGGTCCGGCAGGGAAAGATTTGCCAATGGAAGATAGAATGCCAGAAAATATGCCAGAAGATATGCCAGATAGATATGCCAGAAGATATTATGCCAGAAGATATGCCAGATAGAATGTCCAGATAGAATGCCAGATATGAATGCCAGAAGGTATGCCAGATAGAATGCCAGAAGATATGCCAGATAGCCAGAAGATCTGCCATATACAATGCCAGAAGATATGCCAGATAGAATGCCAGATAGAATGTCAGAAAAGATGTCAGATAGAATGTCAGATGCCAGAAGAAGATATGCCAGATAGAATGCCAGATAGAATGTCAGAAAAGATGTCAGATAGAATGTCAGAAGATATGTCAGATAGAATGCCAGAAGATATGCCAGATAGAATGCCAGAAGATATGTCAGAATATATGCCAGAAGATATGCCAGATAGAATGCCAGATAGAATGCCAGAAGATTTGATAGAATGCCAGAAGATATGCCAGATAGAATGCCAGAAGATCTGCCATATAGAATGCCAGAAGATATGCCAGATAGATATGCCAGATAGAATGCCAAATTGTCAGAAGATATGTCAGAAGATATGTCAGGGAACAGTTGGCATGGATACTCGCGGTTGAGGTCTGGCAGGGAACACTGGGCGCGGATGGTCGTGGTTGAGGTCCGGCAGGGAACACTGGGCGCGGATGGTCGTGGTTGAGGTCCGGCAGGGAACACTGGGCGCGGCTGGTCGTGGTTGAGGTCCGGCAGGGAACACTGGGCGTGGATGGTCGTGGTTGAGGTCCGGCAGGGAACACTGGGCGTGGGTGGTCGTGGTTGAGGTCCGGCAGAGAACACTGTGGATCGCGAGTCGCAGTTGAGCCAGGACGACGAGGACGACAAGGACGACAAGGACGACAAGGATGACAAGGAGGACGAGGAGGAGGAGGAGAGGAGGACGAGGCAGGAGGAGGCGGAGGAGGAGAAGGAGGAGGCAACTGACATAAAATCTAACAACCCTCACCTGGCAGGTGGTGAATTATCTGGCAACAAATAGATAGATAATCATGATAGAGAGGGGTGCGAGTTGTCCTCAAAACTATTTAGTTACGACAACCAAACAACCCAATCAACACAAAAAAGAAAGGTTTCCCAAAACGCGTTGCTGTTGTGCCGAGGTTCTCCTCATCGACGGCTTTTCGAATGAGCAGCATCAGCGCTTGGGGAGTAAGCCCTCTGAAGCCTTCCTTAACAGACGACCAATAGCTGGATGGTTTCATGAAAAATCCCACAAAATGGATGATAACTGTTGGTTGCATGATTCGCCGACATTCCCAGAAATTAAAAAATATGCCGACATATGATGACATATGCAGGCATGCGAACACATTTGCGCAAGATAGAGTCTGTACTGTAGTTTTTTGCATGAAACAACCATTAAAACAAACGGAACGTTTCCACATAATCATATATGATTACAATATATACATTTTACCTCATTTTACCATCCAAAAACACTAACATACATGTGAACGATCCGATCCATCAGATTTGGAATTAGTTAGACCAAACTATTCCCGTTAGAAAAAAACACCGTGGCGTTTTGTATGACTGGACGGTAAACATCATGTTTTACCATGTTTTACCTACACTCTGGATCACTCTGGTAATCTAACGATACAACATTGATGAAAAGGGACAGCTTAGTTCCATGATGTTCCAAACATCTATGGAACATCGCCCAAAAAATGGTTCCATGTTTTTCCAAGGACTAAACCGGATTTTCCCCATGAAAATGTCCATTTCCTCGGGGATTATTGGGATCTCCCAGCCTCCTTCTCCGACTCTGAGGTCGACGAGTCCGAGGCGTCCGCCTCAACTGCCTCCTGGTTTCTTCAAGCCCAAGGACGGATGAGATTTCATCCTCCCAGGATATTTGGAGGTTTTCTTAAAATGGTGGTGCAGTGACGCCACTGTTTAAGAACCTACTGCAAGAGGAACTTCAGGGGCTGGATTGCTGGATTCAACCCTTTCTGTCGGCTAATTGAAATAAGAACCCAGGGTGCCCTACAATTCTAGCCAGTGGTTCTTATTCCCCTGTAACGGGTATCAATATACCAAGCATTGATAATTGATATAAAATAATTGATATAAATATAATTGCAGTAAATAAATAAATGCGCACACACACAGATATGTATATATATATACATTACATATATGAAAGCATGGCGCGGGCACGGGGAAGATTCGAATTTTGATGACGTCAGCAAGGCTGAAGACGACAGCTTCAGCTAGACGCCAGCCGGACTCACTGAAGGCCATCTGACCCCAGAGGCTGCCCTTGGCTTGTGTTGGTTTGTCTTGGCTTGTCTTGCCTGCGCTGCCTTGTTTCGGTCCCTAAATCAAAAAAATCGGGACCAAAAAAATTTTTTCCTTCCCCCGCGTACTTGCAACCTAATACCACGCCAAAATGAACTTTCAAGCCCTGCAATAGTGGAATATCTGGCCCTTAGCTCTGTTTGGAAGGCCTGTGCCTGAAAAGACTTTTCGGGGCCTGAAAAGTTTTCAAGCCCTGGCATGGTGGAATATCTGGCCCTTGGCTCTGTTTGGAAGGCCTGCACCAACCGACTCTTCTCCGAATTTAATGCCATGCCAAAATGAACTTTCAAGCCCTGGGATGGTGGAATATCTGGCCCTTGGCTCTGTTCGGAAAGCCTGCACCTGAAAAAACTTGTCGGGGCCTGAACATGTTTTTTTCCCAACCAACTCTTTTCTAAGGCTGGAGGCACTTAAGGGTACCCGTTAAAAACTAACCCGTTAAGAACTTGAGGGTACCCGCGTTCATAATTCGCATATTTTCCACCTATAGCACTTAAGAAACCCAGGGTAGGCTGGGCAATTCTTAATCGGCTCTTATCTAACGGTTCCGCTGTTCCCCCAAATTCTCCAAATTAGATGATTTTAGTATTGAAACCCATGATCCACCGTTTTAGGAAAACACCAATTTGATCCATTGTGGGACTTTAAGTAGAATGCTGACATAACGAATTGTTATTTCCCACGGTTATTGTTCAAGATATCTAGTTCCTGCTTAATATATATCTAACTAAATTTGAAGGGATACATTCCAAATCTGCTGAGACTTGGGGGTTCATTTACATATATAGTTAAAACATGTTAAAAACCACATGCACCTGTTGAAACATACTAATGGAAATCGATTTATGATTCGACTTGGGGATGCTTGCAGTGAATCCCGCACGCCACAACAGCGAGAACAACAACAACAACAACAACACCAGCGGCAACAACAGCGGCAACAACAAAGACGGAACAAATACCACCAACCATCATCTATGTTGCGAGGTGAATGGTGTTGCGAGGCGAGGTAAATCACCCACTCCCCAGCTCCCCCCGGATGAATCCTCCTCCTCTTCCTCGTCACTGTCGCTGAAGTCGCTATCCGCGTCATCCGCGTCTGCGCCAAAGATCTCGGCAAAGTTCTTCCTGGGCTGCAAAGCTCGCAGGGTGCAATGCGAAGGGGGCATGGGTGCAACAGATTTGGGGAGAGTGTAGCATCCAACAAGGACACGCTCACAGATATGTATTGTAACTATATATATATAATTATATGTAAATTTAGATTTATGTTGATATATGCACATACAAATATATATATATATACATATATAATAATGTATATACACATGTAAATGTATATATATATATATGATATATAAATGTACCTTTATAAAAATATATATATATATAATTATAAATATATATATATAAATATGTGATGGGCTGATCAAGGTTAGGGGTGGGCAATGTCAACTTAACTTGGTGGCTTGGTCCGTGGAGAATCTGCTGGAAATTAGGGAGTTGGACCACTTCCAGGACAGTAAGCGCACCCATGGCAATGGAGCACCTTGCTCTGTGGTAGTAGGACCAGCCATTAAATAAATGATGATATTGTTTTTTCGGGTAGATAACTGGAGAGAAGCTAGGAAGAACAAACAAAAACAGAGAAGCAGGAAAAGCATCTTGAAGAAGGGAAACAGAAATTTTTCAAAAAATGCGCAAAGCGGAAAACAATGGAAAACATCATTCCCTAATCAAATTGCCCTCCAAAATAAAGTGGCACTCCGGTTGATCTGATCAACCGCCCAGGGGTGACTTGGCGGTTTACTTCGAGTGACTTGGCGGAAAGGTCCTGCGCCCTCCATGCCCACCTTTGGACAAGTCGGCGCATCTCTCTCGATATTGTACAAAGATTAAAATGAAAAAGGAAGTGGTACAAAACAGCTCAGAAGGTCACAGGGACAGGATGGCACACTTCAGCTCAAAAATATTTATTGGTCAGAATCATCAGAAATCTCAATGGCAGTTGCGGCAATTGGCATGTTTCTTTGGTGTCTTCCCATATGCTTGCGGAAATACTTCTCAGCTGCCTGGGAAAGCGATTTCACAAGTTTATTCCTCAAGAGTTCCTTCCACTTGTTAGGGATGCAGTCTTCTGTGTCCAGTTCGCTGCGTACAGATTGCTGTAAGGCAGCGGTGACTGCGGCAACCTGTTTCCAAGCCAAGTTTTGTTTTGGTTTGGACAGCACATGTAGTGATGAGAAGAGGAAAAAAAAACGGAGTATTGTGTTGTATTATTTGCAAAACATTTTCAGCAAGAACATATCCAATAATGATAGAATTGTACGCTTGCTGCGGTTGCTCTGATGCACGCACACAAACTGAGAGGCTGTGAATTTCATCCCAAAAAACATTGGGGCCTATTGACCGCCTGCAAGCCTGACAGCACCTTTGTTCCCGCTGTTGAATATATCATAATATATCTGCCAATTTCAATCTCAAGCAAGTGGGCAGACAACAAAAATTTGTTGAGCGAGCGGCCAGATAGAGCCCCCAAGGACAAGGAATGAGGTCGCGGCGACTCAAAAGTAGGAATTGCATGCATTAAAAAAGCGTACTTTCCAGAACGAAGGGTTCTAAGCATTTCTTGTTCAGCAATTTTCTCACATCTATCTTGAAATGTTGGAAGCCAGAACTTAGCTTACGCTGCAGGCCATTCGAGCACGCAATACCACCCATGTCATCCAAAGATCTATTCGTTCGAGAAAGGTGACCGATCATAAGCCCAGCCCCGCCCTTGCTGTCTGCAGCTTGCTTTCCAATGTTCCCAAGCGGCCTCCAGTTCATCCCCGTGTTCCAAGATTGAAACCAAAAACTTGAAGGCTTGGGTTGCTGCAAGGACCCAAATTGTATGCAAGCCAGTGAGCCACAGCATAGCTTCAAGTTTTGTCCTGCTGTGCGCTCTTGTCAAGATACGTAGAGATTTGCTATCACTTTTGTCGAGTCGATGTGCTCGGCGCCAGCCCGAAATGTCAGACCCAAGTAAAGCCGGAAACATCCGGAAACCTTACCTTTGCAGAATAAACATTGTTTCGCATTTCATTCGTCACCAAGGGGTGTTTCCCAGCCACTTCAAGCCTTTCAGCATTGACTTCCCATTGCTAATACCCACATGCCTCGACATAAAACCCTAGGTATTTTGTCCAACCACGGTGTGATTCGTAGATTTCCCCACACCGTGGATTGTCCAATTGCTGACCAGACCCTCGGGTTGGGAAGACGGTCAGTTCAGTTTTGGGATGAGAGATTCGCAGTCCATCTTGCTCCGATGTGCCTTCGATGGTATCAAACTGTTCCTGCAAGCCTACATTGGAGAGATTGGTGAGCAAGTCGTGGCATACATATAAGCAAATGATAGCAAATGTACATAGGTTCCACCAGGTAACACAATAACTCCTGACTGTGCCTCTTGTAAATGCTGAGCGAGTCCGATATCCACATATAAAGTTGCAAGTTCTGGGGACCATCCCGACCCTTGGGGGACACCAACAAGTGTTTTGATAGACTCACCCCTTGTTGTCCTGGAGACCACCTGGACAGAGTGCGTCTGGGCTAGTTCTTTCCACAACATGATTCCATTGTCAGGAAGCCCAGCTACTTGCATTTTATGAAACAGTCGTTCTTGTCGAAGTGTCGAAAATGGTTCAACATCAACAAGCAAAAGGCCACGTTCGTGACACTCAGGGTCAGCATCTAGGAGAGGCCAGAGGGTTGCAGCTATAGTGGCCAAGAGGATGAAAATTCCACCCGTAGTCCGTTTGTGTTGTTTAAAGCCACCCCTTGGTAAGCCCCAGCCGTCCAAAAAGGTTTCATAAGAATAGTGTTTCCTGAGCACGCTCATTAAGCTAAGTTTCCTAAATTCGTTGTGTGTACGACCTTGTTTTCCAGGTTTGAGCAAAGGTTTGACCAGAGAGCCACGGTGGTGTTTGGGGAGCACAAAGTTTTCGGAGAAGTCCCAGCCATTCTTCGCATCCATCTTCTCCTACAGCCTTGCCGTTTGGTAGTTTCCAAAGAAGTACATCTTGGGGTGTGGCTGAGAATACTTGTAGTTCTGAGTGCCAAAGCTTTGATTCCAGCTGGTTGTGTGGAAAACCTGTTTGCGCCACTTGTCGGATGCTGTCCTCAATCATGTCCAAAGTGAGTGTCGTTCAAATATGTTCAAATGTCAAGGGGAAAATATCCATTTTGAGACATGCCATGACATGCCCACATATCATATTGAAGTTGATGCATCCCATTACATCCCATAGAACCTCCCATCGCAGGCATCGGATTTCAAGAACTGTCCTTGGAGATCATCCCTTAAATTGCGAACATCAAACGTGTTTGAAACCACCAACCAGCTTACATTGGCCGGAAGAGCTTTCAACTATGGGTCAAAACTCTGGTACCCTAGGTATCCTGAAATATCTGGTTAATGGATAGTTGTTCCCCAAAATATGGTAATTGGTTTTGATTGACCCATCCCCACGTTAGATTCTCCTTCCATTTTCCAAACGCCCGCCCTCTGAGGCCGGCTCCCTGCCACAGAATCATCCTGCACCAGTTTCATCATGGCGATCAATCACGTTTTCGAACTGGGACGTCTGGAATGCACATCAGTTTGTTGATTCTATAAACGACATCTCCATTGATGTTGGTTGTACGGCCTATGTTTTTTTTGACGGTTTCTGATATATCATCTATCTATACATCTACCACCCACCCTTGAAGTGAACCTAGTGAATGGAGAACCCCCCCATTGAAACGGAAAGTTGTCAACGTGCATCGATCATCAAAACACAACATTGCCATTTGCCATGCGCTTTTTGTCCTCCACTTCCTCCACGGTCGGAGCATCCTGCACCTGTTTCTAGGAAAACGACAAAAAAAAACGTGTGTTTGAATGGGCCAAATTGGAAATTATACTATAGATATGAGCACAATATAGCATAATCTTGAAATTGAAGATTCGCTGGTGGTCACCCAAAAAACGGCATCAAAAATTTAATGTGCAGACGGTAGCACAAAACGAAATCCATTCGAGAAAAAATGCATCTTCCAAATCACGGTCTCTTGGAATCTCTCCCCTACATATTCCTTAACGAATCTTGGGGTCATCCTGAAGTGGTATCGACGATTTCTCGAAGCTTTTAGTGGAAAACCACCCATCCCATCCCCATGGATTAAGGCCTCTGCACGCCTCAGGTCGAAAGAGGGGAAGTGACATGAAAAAGCGGGATTTAGCCATGGTTTTTATGGTCTCTTAGGTAAACAAATGGTCAACCAATGAAGCCCAAATGGATGAACAAAATGGTAAACCAGGTTCCGGACAGATTGGACGGAATTGGAACTACATTGCGGTTGCATAAGAATTTGAAACTTCAAAGTGGTGAGAATGGGACCAGCAAAACTCCAATCAGAGTTTGTTGGGTGGAACATGTTGTGAACAAAAATGGATTGTGATGACATTGGGGGTCATCTATTAGGCCAGGCTGTGGTCCTGTCCAATTTCTTGCACCAGGAGGACTCTCTCTCTACTGCAAGAAGATGGTGCCCCATAGTTGGCTATATAGGTTGAATTAATATGAATTAATTATAGGTTAACACCCGTTTATTGATATCATAACTCATAGTTAGATGGGCGTATAAATCAACTTATAACTAGGGGAGCGACCTTCTAGGATATTCAAGAAATGGCAATGTAGCTACTGTTTTGTAGACTCCGTCCGATTCAGTGCTACTCTCCTAACACTAAAGAGCCGTCCGAAAAACTGGAAAGTGAACTGACGCTAGCGAAATCTCAGACACCCTCCTGCAAAAACTTAGCCGGAAGCCTCCAGTAGCTATGAGTAAGTTCACCTTGGTACCCTGTTTATATCGAAATACCATGTAACTTGTATAGCTGGACCTTCAGCTTCCCAAATCCGATGACCAGTGGATTCCCTGCATGGGCCTCGGTGGACTAAGCTGCAAAAATTGCTGGGAATATATGGCATTTAATTTGGAGTCTCTCTCTCTCTCTCTATAATATCAATATTGTCTATAGTACATCTATAATATCAGTATAAATTACACACATATCTTTTATTGTATACTTGTATCATATGTACATATTGCATACGCACTACATTGCACTAGTCACTACACTACGCCAACTTGCGTAGACATGACACACCCAAAAGTCTTCGCTTCACCGAGGGCCCCGAGGACCCCGCGTCTCGGGCACATCCGTTGCACCTGACAGCATAAACTCGGGCGATGTTTGGGGTATGGTCATCGCATCATGCGGAATCCTTCGCATCTTTGGACATTACAATTCCATAAAATTCCATCTTGATGGAGCTATGACCATCCCATAATATCTGATATATCATGATATTATGGTATATATATATATATGTGTGTGTATGTATATCATTCAACTTGTGATTCTCCCACAATCAAGGGATTGGCTAAATGAATTTGCAAATTTGTTTCCTGTAACCAAAGGATTTCCCCTTGCGATGCTGGTACAAAAGAATACGTAACGTTATAAAAAGGTGGGATTAGGAAACCCCTGTTGAATAAAAAACGGCCAACTTCGGCGGAGATAAGAATCCTCTGTGAATAAAGTATGCCAGCGTTGAGTGTTGGGGGTCTCTGCAAACCAGTTCAAAGAAAAAACGTCAAACAACTATAGACTATAAACAACTGAAACATTTTTTGTGTTGAATAAGGCAATTTGTTCGGCAAGTCTTGTGTTCGGTGTTCAATTAGGCAATTTGTTATCTTAACAAACATGTATTTGTTTTCAACTAGGCAATTTGTTAGGCAATACTAAAACTCTCAAATACATGTCCCGATGCAGGTTTATTTCCGGGAGTGGGTTCAAAAGGGGGAGGGTGATTAGACCCAGGTCAACATTACTGGATTTGGTGGGATAGTTCCCCCAATGTGGGGCACCAAGCGTGGTCACTCACATGATGTGGCTACAAACGAAATACAAAGAACATTTTTAACAGTATCCAAATGTATCTATATAACATTGTCTAACATTTACATTCTACTACCACATTGCTAACACCAAGCCCAAAAGCATCGTTTATATCATCTGGGCCCTGGACAAATGATTGTTATTCTTAAATCCGAAATTCAAGCTACTTTCGGGGTGACTCAATCTTTTTGGGTTTTGTGGGCCAGTGGGTCACAACATAATCTACCCAAATTCCGTCTCAAAAAGCAACACAACCCTCGACCTCTTTGGGTGCGTGTGTGCCAATAGGGCATTAACCTCAAATTTATGAGTGTTAATAAGGAAACTGGTGGTTTGAACATAAGCAAATCAAACTGGATTCTGGTGAATCTATTGCACTTTCAGACCAATCAATTTGTGTCAAAAAGCATTGGTTGGTTGAGAATTCCCCATGACTGGTCAGTGAAAACCTAAATAAACCAGGTAGGTTAAAAACACCATCTTTCATCATTACAGTAACCATGCATCATTTACCATGCATCATTTATCAACTATACCTCCATGTTTGATGGTTATATGGTAGCACATTTTGACACCACAGCGATGGTGAAATCATACGTTGAATCAAGAGTTTCAACCATCAACCCACCATTTCTGGATTTCAAGGTGCGGTGCTCCCGAACGCTTTGTTTTGTTGGTTCATTTACCCAGCACTGTTATAATACCCATCAAGGTACATCAACCATGGAAATTACCTGGTATCATATAATATCCAATACTTTGAAACCAACTTAGCGAACAGATCTAACATCCAACGAATTCAAGTTCCGAATTTCCATGTCTTTCTGTTGCAACGTGGCACCTTGCTCTGTCTCATCCAGGCGGTGGCCCCGCGCCATGCGTCGCAAGGCATTCGAGGCTTTGGCCTTGTGCCGCCGTTCCGCCTGTACCGAGGGCGTCCGGTGGTTTTTTCCGAAGGCGTCCAGCCGTCCCCAAAAAACAAGTCCGTTTTGGGCACCTAGACAATGGATAAACATTAAAAAAAATGGCAGATGTAACTATGATGTCGCTACAATACTGGCAAATGGATAAACATGGCAGATGTAACTATGATGTAGCTACAATACTAGCAAATGGCAAATGGATAAAAATGGCAAATGTAACTATGATGTAGCTACAATACTGGCAAATGGCAAATGGATAAAAATGGCAGATGTAACTATGATGTAACTACAATACTGGCAAATGGATACAAATGGCAGATGTAACTATGATGTAGCTACAATACTGGCAAATGGATACAAATGGCGAATGTAACTATGATGTAGCTACAATACTGGCAAATGGATAAAAATTGCAGATGTAACTATGATGTAGCTACAATTCTGGCAAATGGATAAACATGGCAGATGTAACTATGATGTAGCTACAATACTGGCAAATGGATAAACATGGCAGATGTAACTATGATGTAGCTACAATACTGGCAAATGGATACAAATGGCAGATGTAACTATGATGTAGCTACAATACTGGCAAATGAATGGATAAACATGGCAGATGTAACTATGATGTAGCTACAATACTGGCAAATGGCAAATGGATACAAATGGCAGATGTAACTATGATGTAGCTACAATACTGGCAAATGGCAAATGGATACAAATGGCAG